CTTGGTTGCAGGCACATCCCCAATAGGGGGTGTGCAGGAGGCAGCTGATTGATGTTTCTCTCTCATCGATGTTTCTGACTCTCTATCGCTCTCCCTTCCTCTCTGTAAAAAATCAATAAAATATATATTTTAAAAAATAAAATAAAAAATTGGAGCTACCTATTTTTTAAAAAATAGGAAAATAAAGTGTGGGGAGGGGCAAAAAAATAAACTTGGGAAAACATCCTGCTACTAAATAGGTTTAAGAATAAAACCTCTGTAGAGAAAATATTCCAATAGAAGGTAAAACCTATGAGGGTTGCTCAACACAGAATTATTTGTAATAAAACAATTACGAAAAAAATGAATTGTTCAGTAACAGAACTGTAAAAACCAATTAGGAAATGTCCAATTGATAAAATATTCTACAGCCATTAAAAGACGAGGGCCCAGCCGGTGTGGCTCAGTTGGTTGGGTATCATCCTGTGCACTGAAAGATTAAGGGTTTGATTCCCGGTCAGGGAACTTATCAAGGTTGCGGGTTTGATCCTGGTCGGGGTGCCTGCAGGCGGCACCCAGTTGATCTATTTTTCTCTCTCTCTCTCTCTCTCTCTCTCTCTAATATCAATAAAAACATTTTTTTAAAAGACAACGAGGAAGACGCTGAAACATAGGATGGACAACAATGTTGAGCCAAATACACCATGGCTACGTGCCACGTCGAAACAGCTCCTTCTGCCACACCAAACAGAACACGATCTGATATGCTGTGTTGCTATCTGATGTGCAGTTTCCCCTTCATTGAAAACACTCAGCAATATAAAGCTTCTACAGTGACTGTACATTATCCAAAAGAGAAGAAAAACATCAAAATGGATGCAATGACTCAAAAACAAGTCTTTGAGCACAAATGTTCCTGCAGGAGGCACGCCCTGAGCGTCTTTGCCACTCGTTCTGGGAAGACAGCACCGGGCCTGAAGTCACCCCTTTTGGGCACTGAGACAATACACATTTCTATGTCTGAGCCTTTTATTTGCCCCTATAGAAAAACTCAGATGCACAGCTAGTTCCTTCGACAACATTTCACACACAAGCCTTTTATTTTCCCCTATAGAAAAACTCAGATGCACAGCTAGTTCCTTCTCACAATAAAGCAATGCTCAATTAGCAATCACATTATCTTAATTTTTAATGACAAAATGGTGTTAACTTTGTGCAACTTGTGGTCAAAAATAATTAAAGACCATTGGGTGATATCTACCAGAAGTAATATTAGACACAGGATTACTTACAAAACAAGCAATTGTCAATAGAAAACTAAATATTTCCCTTGGGAAAAAATGTAATATTTTATTATTAAACAACTCAGGCAAAAGTCTAGATTTTCTATAAGTGCAGAACAGATCAGAAAGGCTTCCACAGGGGGCCCCATAGTGGAGGGATGTGATTCTTTGGATGGCTTTATGATGACATTTATAACCTCCTGGGTATTTTAGCTCTCTGAAGAAAATGTTCATTCAAAAGACTAAATCATACAAAGCATTTAATATCTTCAAATGGATGCCTAATAACAAAACTTTGTAACAAGAAGTGAGTCATAGCACTAAATTGTGTTTATCAAATACTTGAATAAGCTACATTCAGAAACGACAGAGCAGCTTACAGGTACACGGAGGTACTCTGCACTACCACAAAAGCAGCCACAAAGAGCTTTATGTACTCGAGGTAAAGCTGACGGTTTACTTTTTGCAAGCCATGTATCTCTCAGTGACATTCTGCCAGTTGATTATATTCCAAATAGCTTTCAGGTAGTCAGGCCTGACGTTTTTATACTGGAGGTAATACGCATGCTCCCACACGTCAATCCCCAGCAGTGGAATAAGACCTATTGGAAAGAAGGAGAAAAAACAAAAACGTTCAATTTCAATTTAAACACTGCATCTTCTCAATGTAACCTTTATCCTATGCATCCACAATGACCCTTTACAACATTCTCACCCATTTTGCAGTTTCTTATATAAACCGAAAATGTGATAAGAATAGATACCCCTATAAAGAGATTTTCAACTTTACTCTTTGGAAGGAAAATGTGATTAGTATTAGAAATAATTAAAATAGCTGAGAAAAATAAATTAACTACAGTATTTTAATAGCTGTTCTTAAAATGCCAACACATACAAGAGCCAGTTCTTAGGCGTCCTTACTGGGGATCTCAGTAAGAGGATGTTGTTTGTGGGGTGACTGAGGACCCTCCAAAGGTCCTGAGTACTCAGGGAGGTGATGAGAAACCTGCCCTGCCCCCAAGGCTGTTAGGCTTGGAGAATAAAAGCGTTTATGAGGCGCTGATAGAACAAGTTAACAAGGAAAACTAGAGAGACACAGGAGGTGCGGCCAGGATCCACCTGGAAGTCAAGCCTCTCCAGGTGGTCCCTTCGGCGGTAGGCCTGACTCCCTAAGCATGCCACGCTCACAGATCTGCTGCTGCTTTTACAAATTCTGTAGCATCTCACTTTCCCAGAAGAGCGGTATAGGTTCAGGAAAATCTGAGCATGTCCAGGGAAGCGTCACGCAACGTCTTCGGATGTGTGCACAGGTCATAAAGGCAGCTTTGGCTTCTTTACATCAGAGGTCACAGCTCCAGCTAACTGCTGGACGGCGTGGGATTCTTTCTCCGAAAGGGCTTCTAATGCAATCTGGCTCCACATGAAAAAGGACTGGGTGAGCCCAGCCTGGCGCCTCCAAGCCAAATATTGTCCTATACCAAAACCCCTGGAGAGGCAGCCGTCTGGAAATCGGCGCGCTCCTCCCAGTCTGACCACAAGCGCTCAGTAAAGAGTGGTCCAAGGTCTGAAATCAGACATCTTTTCCTCGTTCTTGTTGTTTATCTAATTTTAGTGCATATAATTATGTAAGTTGATATGAACTATCAAATGAAGCAGTTTATGTTTAAGACATTTTTTGTTAATGTATCTATTAAATTACATGTGCTTTTTATTCATATACTAGAGGCCCAGTGAGGGGATCAGGCCGAAATTAGCTCTCCGACATCCCCCAAGGGGTCCCAGATTGCAAGAGGGCAGTTCTTGGGTGATGCACCCTGGAATCGGGCTCCCTCCTCTCTGGTTCTGGGTGTGTCACCCGAGAACCGTAGCTGCCAAGTCACTGCAGCTTGGCAACTCCTGCGTTGAGCATCTGCCCCTGGTGGCCAGGGCACGTCATAGCTACGAGTCGGAGCTCTGCCCCCTGGTGGTCATTGCAGATCATAGCTACCGGTCAGACGGTCGCTTAGACTTTTATATATATAGATATTTTTATTGATTTCAGAGAGGGAGGGAGAGAGAGAGAGAGGCAGAAACATCAATGATGAGACTCATCGATTGGCTGCTACACGCCCCCTACTGGGGACAGAGCCCACAACCCGGGCACATGCCCTGACAGGGAGTTAAACTGTGACCTCCTGGTTTATAGGTCAACACTCAACCACTGAGCCACACCCGACCAGGCACGTGTGCTTATTTTTTATAAGACTTAAGATTTCAAAACATCAAGAACTTTTAAAGCACTTTTGCTTAGACTCTGGGTATCATCAGTTAAGATTTGCTCAAATAAGTCTACAGACTTATGATAGGCATGAGCCCTGCTAGTTTTCTGTATTTGAACCATCTCCCCTGAATGGATGGGTAACAATTTTCCAATCTAACCTGTTGTTCCTTGAAGGGGATCCTGGTTAGAACAAGCAGCAATCTGTAAGCGTCCTTGTTCCTTATTGAAACCAAGCCAACCCCAACCTGAGCCTTGAACGCCAGCAGACACAGTGGTCAACTTCTCCTTAAACGTGGCGAAGGAACCAAAGTCACGTTTGATGGCTTCCAGCAGTTCCCCTATTTAAAAAAAATCCAAAGAACACTCACAAATGAACAGATGGCAATAACTACAATATTTTGTTACATATATGAAAATATTCTTGTCATTTGGCCCAAGATACAACTAGACAACACCAGGTAGAAGACACAACAAAGCCCCATGAGCCTCCACAACACGGCATTCTCGGCCCTGGGGCAACGTCCCAGGTCTCACAATGTTAATTCACGTGTTTGCCACTGAAGCATTGCAGAGGGATTTCTCCCTTCACGGTGCTATTGCCATCAGGAAAGAAAGAACAGTTTCCATTAGCCTTCTTTTTGTCCACTCAGCAGAAAATTTTACTTTGACCTCTACCCTACTTATTCTGTCTTAATTTGGGACTAAAATGTTATGGCTGTTATGTTTCTTCCCCAAGGCAGCTTAGATCTTTCCTATCTCAATGATATCATTTTAGAAAGAGTTATTTTCTCCCTTCTGTTACTGAACTAAGGATACGCTTGAAGAGCTATAGCCCTTTTATTCTGTAGCAATACAGAATATAATTCTAGACTGAGCACATCAACCAAATCAACTAGGCCAAAAACTTCACCTCTCTGTTAAAAGGAATCATCTGTCATAAGCACGAATGAGGAATAAAGTGACACAGACAACACAAAGTGGCAGTACCAACACCTGTTGATTGAATAGAGTTGTATCTGATACTCTGGTAACTCACAAAAACTCAACACTATTAAGTCATAGTCTGAAGACCTAAGTCACAAAAAATAAATTGTCCAGCTTCTCATTCATTAATGCTTCCTAATAAAATTGCTTATTTCAAGTGCCTAAGATGTCTTCTAGAACACAATTAAAACACACACACACACACACACACACACACAAATTTAAGGTACATCCCAGAAGCCTAGAAATGAGGGAGGGAGCTATGTTCATGCCCCACACCTTCCAGTGAACAAGGGGAGTGGCCCAGCCATCAGCTCTGTCCTCCTTCATTACCTAGGTTTTCGGGGACAAATGACTTCTCCTCACTTAGGAAGAATAGTAAAATAATAGCAAAAAGCACTATTCTAAGTTCTTTACATATAATAACTCATTTAATCCTCAAAACAGTCCTATTATTGTCCCCGTATCATACTGAGGAAGAAAGTAAGGTTCAGAACGGTTAAGTCTCTCAGCCCAGGTCCGAGAGCTAGTGAGTGAAGCTTGTCTTTCTAAAAACCATTTCTCAGTCTTTCCCTAACGAACAGCGCAATCAATACATTTCAACCAAAAGTCGACACCACATGTGACATTGCGTGCATGTATATATGATCTGAGGACACAACTCCCTGAATGCACTCTCCATTCTTCCATGTGTCCCTCTGAAAGTTACTACAACTTGATTGCACATCTTGCTATGAAAAATATGCCATTATGATACCTCAGAGAAAACTAGGGTAGCATTAAAAAAAAAATAGTCATTCCTATCATGCACAAAATGTAGCTAAGCTAGTACCAATATATACCAACCTTTGGGTTCTCCGCCACCATTAGGGCTCAGGTTTGTCCAGAAAATGCTATGATTGATATGGCCTCCTCCGTTGAACTTCAGCGCAGGCTGAAGAGCTACCTGAGTTGTGACGTCACCTGAAATGTCAAAATGCAAATACATTTTTTTAAATGCTTACTTTTTCAGCCATTCTATACACTCTTTTCTTCTTTGTAAAATGTCAGATAAATGGATCAGCTTCTCTGTAACATCCTATAGGTCCTAAAATTCTACAATTTCAGGATTCTACCAAGAAAGAACTTCCCAAAATTACTTGTCCCAGTGGATTTTCAGGTGATTAGTAACATGCTGAACAACTAGTGTGGCAGCAGGGTTGGCAAAGCTAGCAGAAAATCCACTCTGAGCTTCAAAGAACTGAGTTTTCCTGGATAGAAAAGATTTTGGCAAATTAAATAATGAAGAACAAAGATAGAAAATGGAATGCTAAAATGTCTGGTTCCATATACTGACTATATGAAAATTTTCCACCTCTTGTTTCCTAAGTAGACAACTATTCACTGGGAAATCTCTCAGTGTTACGTGAACAAGAAACACAACATATTCAAAACTGAACTCCTGACTGTCAACCCCAAGCTTACCCCGCTGTGGGCTTCCAACCCACATGCCAGCTGTCTCCTCAGGACATTCTGGTAACCTGGTCCTCTTGGAGCCTCCCTCTCACACCCACATCTCACCCACCAGCGTATCCACCAGCAAGGCCAGCTCACCCTTAACACACATGCGGACCAGCCGCACCCATCTCCCCCCAGCGCCCTGCCACCCTCGGCGCTGATCTCCTGCTTCCACATCTGCCCGACAGTCTATTCTCACTGCCGTGGCCAGAGCCTCCTCTAGACCCCACATCCATCACGTAACATGCTGAACAACTAGTGAGGCAGCAGGGTTGGCAAAGCTAGCAGAAAGTCCACTCTGAGCTTCAAAGAACTCAGTTTTCCTGAATAGAAAAGATTTTGGCAAATGAAATAATGAAGAACAAAGATAGAAAATGGAATGCTAAAATGTCTGGTTCCATATACTATACTGACTATATGAAAATTTTCCACCTCTTGTTTCCTAAGTAGACAACTATTCACTGGGAAATCTCTCAGTGTTACGTGAACAAGAAACACAACATATTCAAAACTGAACTCCTGACTGTCAACCCCAAGCTTACCCCGCTGTGGGCTTCCAACCCACATGCCAGCTGTCTCCTCAGGACATTCTGGTAACCTGGTCCTCTTGGAGCCTCCCTCTCACACCCACATCTCACCCACCAGCGTATCCACCAGCAAGGCCAGCTCACCCTTAACACACATGCGGACCAGCCGATCTCCCCCCCGCCCTGCCACCCTCGGCGATGATCTCCTGCTTCCACATCTGCCCGACAGTCTGTTCTCACCGCCGTGGCCAGAGCCTCCTCTAGACCCCACATCCATCACGGCACTCCTCTAGCCAAACCCTCCCCAGGCTGCTCTTCTCAGAGCGAACCCCAGGTCCTTACAACCGGCTACAGAAATGCCCGCCATGTGACCTGTGCAGCTCCTGGCGGGCCCAGCTCCAGCCACACTGGCCTCCTTGAACTTACATGATCAGCTCAGCGCTCCCGGCTCAGGGCTTCCACCGCTTCCTGCGCGGGGACATTCTTCCCCGGGGCAGCCTCATGCTTCGTTCCCCCCTTTCTCCTTCAAGTTTCTACCGAACCAACAACTCCATCAGTGAAGCCTTCTCTCACCACAGTGAAAACTGGGCAACTCCCCTACTTGGTTTTCCTGCGTGAGATTTACAGCCCCTGCCATCCTACATACTGACTTGTTCATCTGTCTCCCCAATAGAATGAAAGGACTTTCATGCACTGCTGTGTCCCAGAGCCCATTATATTGCCTCATACATAGCAGGCGCTCAATCGATGTTTGTTGATTGACTAGATAATTGAATATACTGAATGTAGTTTCTAAGGTAAAAAATTCTCTGGTATCTATAGCACTTAATAAAAAAGAATGGCCTTGGCCGGTGTGTCTCAGTTGGTTGGAGAGTCATCCCATACACCAAAGGGTCATGGTTTTGATTTCTGGTCGGGGCACATACCCAGGTTTCAGGTTCAATCCCCAGTCGGGGTACACGTCGGAGGCAGTTTCTCTCTCTCCATCTCTAAAATAAAAAAAGAAACATATCCTTCTTAAAAAAAGTCATGTTTGAACATTTTTTTTCTACCTTGCTTAGTAAGTAGACAAAATAAAAAATTTTTTCTATGCCTTCCAGAAGCTACAGATGAACTGAACTCTCAGGAAAAATGGGAATTTCCTTACTAAATAAACATTGATTCACAAGATACCAAAAGGCAAAATGAAGGACAGAAAAACCACTGAGCACTGCTCAGAGATTACATAATAGAAAAAGTTCTCTACTTCTGTTCTTAGGGCACATTCGAACATATGTAAGAAATACTATTGTTTCCTTAAACAAAGCCAAATCTCCAGTTGCTTAGCAATTCAGAGAGGAGGAGCGGACCACCTGATATCTAAATACACAGTTGATCTTTGAGAGTTTTTTAAGATGCCGACATTTTGCTATTATGTTTATAAAATGATTTTCTCACAGATCAGTGTCTCTATTAATTTTTCTTGGAAAGTCACCCTAAAAATAAATGTAAGTTATTAAATTATGTTTTATTAAGTCAACAGTAACTACATATTTCTAATGGGAAAGAAACATATTGAAAATTAGTTTAATAATTTCAATCTCTTAAAGTTTAGTTCATTCTTTTTAAATTTTAATAGAAATTGGGGGGCTTAGTATCTGCTTTTAAGAACACTTTTCTGAAGTTCAACATTTTCTTTGGCTTCACTTCAGTTTTCTTCTGTTAAACACAGTAAAAATTAAATATGTTTCTTTGAAAAATATGTTACTTACATGTGATGAGGCTGATGATGTAATTTTACCGTACGCCTTTAATCCCAAATTGCAAACATGAAAATTTAGATCTTTAACAATTTTTAAAATATAACTTTTTAAATAAAAGAAAGGTCAGTGGCTACTTATTAATTTATGATCAACATAGAATATAATGTAAAGCTTTTTCCCCAGTGGCTTTCATTGAAAAAGGAAAGCGTCGAGTGCACAAGAAAAGGAGGGAAAGTGAGCTGTTTTTAAAATATTGAAGAGACAGGTTCAGGGGTGTCAGGATGTGGTCATGTAAGAAATAGTTTCACAACTGGAATATTCCCAGCCTCACGTACCACCTCCTTCCCGCATTTGTTATGTCCTAAATCGCCAAAACTTTTCTCGTATTCAGAACCTTTAGCCATACTTGAGGTTTCTCTGACGGTCAGAAGTAAACATTCCTGAATGTGGCAACTTCCTCTGGTTTTTGCTTAGCCATTTACCTTGTACACAATCAGGCTGAAATACTACATTTTTCCACTAGATGCCCCCAGTCAACAACGTGTCGCTGTCTAAAATTTACTCCACCAATTTCACCGCGCTAAATTTCAATAAAAATGCGTATATTTAAGAAAAAAAAAACACATTTTTTTAACTGTGTAGCTCATGAAGCCATATCTGTAGGCTGGAAACACGACTGTCAATTACTTCCTCTGCAAACCACTGCTTAAACTCAGAGGTTGAAAAATGTAATCGCTTTTTGTATAGAAACACTAAAACATAGTATTCCCACACACACCCCCAGACACAAAACAGAGTCCACATGCTACTGGTTTTGTCAACCGGACCCTTTTAAAAATACAGTAACTCCATGTTATATTTTAACGGAATTCTAAATGTTAGTAAACAAATACACGCCTTTCCAGTTTCCCACAAGTGGGTATTCTCCTTGTGCATTTCAAGAACACGCGGAATGACCTAGCGAGCAGAGGAGCATCTTACGGAGATGCGTCCTGTTTCCATGAGCCAGTTTCTCCGGGTCCAGGGTAGGCCGCCCGCACCTACCCTTGGTCCGCACCTGCCCTTGGTCGGCACCTGCCCTTGGCCCACACCTGCCCTGCGCCCGCACCCACCCTTGGTCCGCACCTGCCCTTGGTCCGCACCCACACTTGGTCCGCACCTGCCCTGCACCCGCACCCGCCCTTGGTCCCCACCTG